TTAAGGAGCTGGAGGGATGCATCGGTTCGTGTCTGTACCTAAAACCTCCAAGGACACTAAGAAAAGGAATCAACTTCAAGACTATATTCCCATCCTTTAAGTTAGCCATGTACCTAAGTAACTCATTGAGAAATGTTTATGTAGAAGCATAAAACTGACAGCCAGTCTTGAATTAGTCCATTTTTCTAATGAGTATAAATCTGATGCTTTTCATTCTGAAGATTTATACCATTACTGTTGTTTTTCTTTACAAGCTAACTCAGCTGCCTCTCCTAAATAAATATAGATGCAATTCTGATCCATTTTTTGAAGAGTATTTCTTTGAAATCGCCCTCTCTATTTAGCTATCCTAAATATGGCAGCCTGGAACATTACAGGACTGAAGAGCTTCAGAATCACTTGCACAGAGATTCTTGCAATGTTTCTAACCCCCAAATTGCCACTAATGGGAGAACACAATTAGACTGAGCATTTACAGAGCACAACAAATATCTGACTACGCGGTGCCTTTGCGTACTAGCAGCAGTTGAGAGCTTCCAAGTAATTGAAGGGATTTATTTTAGGGAAAGGCGTGTGACTACGTATTCTAAACAGCTCAGATGAACTCGACCAAAACGGTTCGGCAAAGCAGGTGTCCAGGCAGCCCGTCAGAGGCATGCAAGCAGTATTTAATGCATAGGCAAAGCATGCTATGATGCCGTGGGTGGCTTATATCCAATGTGAAAGCATTCACAACTCGCTGCCCAGTGAGAAGGCGAACGGCTCGCAGCGGTCACGCACCAGCGGGGGGGGTCTGGTTTAGTTCAGTGATGAACTGCAAGAACCAGTCCCTGGGGAACTGGGAGTCACAGACTACAGAAATCGAGTTGGCTGGTGTCACTGATTGATACAGACACTTGAGAGCAGCTCCCGAGGGAGGGATGGTGGGGGCAATGCTCCTGCTGCTCCCTCGTTGTGTTGCGTGTGAGCTGTGCCTGACCGTGAGCACTGGGGCACACACACATTTACAAGGTGGTTGTGCCCCAAGCCCTGAAGCACTCAAATGGGTCGTTGCAGACCACTGTGCCCGCCTGGATCTCACTAGTGGGGATAGGATCAGGTCACCCCTTCAGCAAGGACAGTGTGAACTCTGCCATCGCAGGCTGGGTATAAGGCATCATCCTCGCAACCCCTCCAGAACCATCCTTACCTCCATCAGCGTATGTCTCAGTGCCGTAGCCATCCTGCAAGCCATTATTCCAGGTACCTTCATACTTGGCTCCACTGCTCATGCTCTGCCTCGCGCCATACCGTCCCTTACAGCCATGGGTCCACTCTCCTCTGTAAACCCACCGTCCTTTGGTCTCGATTCCTAGGCCATGCCTCTTGCCTTGGGACCAGTAGCCCTCGTAGGTGTTGCCACTCGGCCACGTGTATATGCCCACCACCTCGAAGCCGTAGTTCCAGGAGCCTGAGTACTCGCCCTGGCCCTTGGGGCCAGTGCAGATGCCATGCCCGTGGGCTTTGCCCCCTTCCCAGCCCCCGCAATAGGCGCCTCCATCATCGAAATCAAACCTGCCGCCGCTCATGGTGCCCTCGGGGCCGCGCCGCCGGGCAGCGCTCCGGGAAGGAAGGGCGGCTGCGGCATCCCCGCCGAGCCGGGATGGGCGTCGGGATGGGCACCGCCACCGGCCGCTCACCGAGGGGCCGGGGAACGGGAGGAAGGAGAAATTGGAGGGAGGGGAGAGGAGAGGGGCGGGCCGGGGCCGAGCCCCCCCAGGAGGGGCCGCCGATCCCGCCGGTACCTGCCCCGGCGCCGCGGCACGGGGCGAGCCCTGAGCCGAACCCCGCGGCGGCGGAGGGAGAGAGGGAGAGAAGGGGGGTCCCGAACCCGGAGATGGGGACGGGGGGTCCGAGGCGGAGGGGGGGGGGGGGGTCCCGAGGCGGCCGCGCTCCCCGCCCCGGCCGCAGCCGCCCGCCCCGCTCCGCTCTCCTCCCCCGCCGGGAGAAAGGTCAGCGCTGCCCTAACAAGGCCATCGGATCCCAGGAGCTGCTCCCAAAAATAACCCCCGGAGCCCGGCCTCCGCCTCAGGGCCCTTTTATGAAGGAGGGCAGGGACACGTCCCCCCCGCCGCGGGCAGGGATCCAGGCGGAGAAGAGGCTGGGAAAGTAAGCATCTGCTTAAAATAGAGCCTGGGAAGGGGCGCGTCGGTCCCGTCCCCTCCCGCCGCCCTCCCGGGCGCACCAGAGCGCAGGGAGCGGGCAGGGAGCCGCGTCCCGCTCCGCCGGACCCCCAGGAGGGGACCCTCTCGCAGAGCCGAGGCAGCGCCTTGGGGCGGGTTTGCTCGCAGCAGCGTTCAAGGGGGCAGTTTCAACAAGGAGTAAAAGCACAGCCCTCACCGGGTTGTGGCGTGCGCCTTGCTCACCCCGTCTGTTCCTATTACCAGGAATTTCCAGAGCTGCTTTAGGGTGGCGGCTTGGTAGTAGTCATTCCCATCTCACTCCCAAACAACAACAAACTTACCCAAAACCTCCTTCTGTTTAACAGCTGGTGGATGTTTCAGACTCCCATAAGACAGTTTAACACCTTGCACAACCTCCTCATTGGTGTTTCTAGGAAGAAGAGGTATAGGAAAAAAACCCCATGCAGTATATAACTGTAAGAAAAGTCAAGTATGTATATACAGCACATAAACTACAGATTGCCTGCAGGCACAGGTGAGAAGGACCAGCTGCCCACTATGGAGCTTATTTACAAAAGGCTTCACTTTTATTCAGCCACAGGAAGGAATGGTGAAGAACTCCAACACTGTTCTGAAGTGCTGCTTGGCAGAATCAGCCCTTTAAAACTTTCTGGTTTAAAAAAAGTCAGACTTTGAAACTGGCTGAAGTTGGACTTTTTTGAGCTCAGCTTTTGGACTCCTCAGCCACACTTTGCAGGTTCTTGCTGCACAATTAAGGGCTGAAAATTCACATTTTCTCGAAGCAAAACTGGAGGGGTTTGGTTTATGGTTTCTGGTTAGACCAAACCATCTAAAACACCTTGTAGTAACAGGAGAGAAAGTGTTAAGGCAGCAGTTGCAGCTATCTGTGGTCTTTCATTCCACAGCATTCCAGCACTTACCAGACCAAAGATGTTGTAACTGCCTCAAGAGGATGCCAAGTTCAGGACCACATTAATTATTTACTTAGCAACTTTTCCTAATCTCACAGCACTGTTGTGAACTGGCAGTACACTTACTTTAAATGTTAGTAACCTATGCAGATGTTGGCATTTAAAGAGCCTTTGTTGACCACTAACGCACCCGAACATCAGAAAGCACCAACATTATGTGGGTGCCTTAAGGCACCAGCCAGAGCTTCAGATTTCTTCATTTTGGCAGGGAAACGCATATTCTCTCCCAAAGGCTGAGGCTGTGGAGCTGCAGCACCCAGCCAGGGCACAGCACCCAGCCAGGGGAGACCTCTAGTGGCCCAGCACTCCTGTCCTCCCTCCCCAAGTCCACACCAGTTCGCATCTTTCTACTCCATTTTTTTCACATCTCCTCCCAGATTTCAATCCCCTTTCTGCAACATGGTACTGAGCATTTGATGTCTCAGCCCTAAATCCTGCAGGTACCAGGCTGCAGTGACTGACGAAAGCAATGGCGAAATAGTGAAAGGAATTCTCGGCCCCACAGCAGTGCTGTGGCTGCTGCCTGCAGGCATTTGGAAACAGTAAAGAATTATTATTGAAGAAGTATGGTCACTTTGCAGCCCATAATTACCAATGCCCTGAATTCAGAACATGGGTGGCAGAAATACAGCTGTTTAAGAAGGGGGAAATGGAAGGGAGGTGGGACCCAAGTACAATCTGCAAGGTGTAGATGACACTTGAGAGCTGGCAAAACCCGTAAATTCTCATGGTCACTTGTTCTGAGACACTGCTACGGAAAACAAAAACCCCCAAGAGTAACACCAGAAGATCTCACAGGGAAATGATTGTCTCCATTTCTTTCCAAGACTTTACAGGTCAGAAAGGTTCAGGTACTGAAGTAGTAAAGACAAACTTAACACAACTCATCTCTCCCTCAGCAAATCACGTAATTGATGGGATGGTCCTTCGCTATACATGTATTCATAAAAGACAGACTGCTGATGCACACAAAGCTGCTGTTTATCAAGCAAGATTCATTGTGCAGCTGACAACGGCTCACTCAAGTCTACAGGTGTTAATACTTGAAGGTTATAGAGCAGACTGAACAAAGCTATAGAACAAACCCAAACCCACCAGGGTGCACATGAATTTTAAGACCACTGAAGCCAGCAAATGCTGTTTCAACCTTCATAAACCCCACACTGAACAGTGCATCATCTTATTTTTCCCTTGGTTAACTGAAGCAGCAATCCCCCTGAAGAATTAAGGTGTTTCTCCTGCTGCAGACCCATCTGAGGCCTGTTGGAAGTTGAATAAAAAGTTACATTTGCTTGACTTTTTCCACTAACCAACACTGCAGAGATCAGAATAACCTCTTAAACAACCTTGCTTAGATTGCCTGAGGAGCAAAGAAACTTGGACATTCTAACAAGCAAATGTTATGTTAATCTAATCTGACTGCATTAACATTACCAAAGATAGGGACTGAGGGCGTTTGTTCAGCTGATAAGAAATGATACCACCCCAGAAGATGACTGTCTCTCTTCAATTTGCCTATAGTGGTAATAGTACTGAGGAGATGATAGGATTGTCACCTTCCTTCATGAAACAAAATCAGAGGCACAAGTGTCCAAAACCACAAGCATGTTACAACCTGAGGTCACAGCAATTGCATTCAGGTCCCTCACAGTAACAGCTCTCACCACCAAGTAACCCAGAGGCTCTTCTCTTCCAACAAGCCAAAACCAGAGGAAAAGTGTTAGGTCTCTTAAGTATAGACAGGTACAGTCTAAACACATTCACTGCTTACTTCATTATGTATTACAAGCTTAAATTATAATGCTTAAGCTCAACTGTTTGCCCAGTTTAAATAATGAGCATTAGCTAAGATACAGAGAAGTGGTTTTATTGCAAGCACAGTGAGCAGAAAGTAGGTTGCATCTCACATGAGTGTGACTGAGGGCAGATTTAAACCGCACACCCTTACAGTGCTCATTGCTGTCAGGTGTACATCATTTCTGCCATGTGAGACATTTTCTTTGGGATATACAAGTAATATTCCATGTATCCCGAAAGATCTTCAATAGTCACATCATCCACAAAAGCCCTGGCTTGCTCAGAACAAGAGCGTGGAGAGCTTGAGGGAGTTCTTGATAGCAAAGACTGGGAGTGATCCTCAGAAACTGTTCTTCTATCAGGTGCCAAAGGGAGGGTGTTCTGCAAGCCAGAGAATTTGTATACTTCCATATCTTGCCATCGTTTACACTGACAGGCTTTATCTGCACATGCACATGGCTTATTCGTGTTCAGCTTGGACATAGACTGAAAGTCAGAAAGCTCCGTAGTCTTTAGGCTTGCTTTAGTTTCTAGAGAAGCTGGAGAGTTCTCCTGTCTGTTCTTTGACACTGACCGCATAGCAGAAGCTTCCAAAGACTCAACATCAGCTCCCTTATGGCCAACGTCAGGAGCAACATTGCATTGTTCATGTGGACAGGCTTCCTTTAGGACTGGCATCCCACAGCCACTGCTGTCGTCCTGGACATCATTTTGGCTCTTATGCACTAGCTGGTTGCATGTGGAATGTGACTTTGTGCTGCAATGGATAAACTTGGGAGGATGAAGAATTGGAGACTTGGAACACCTGTGACGCTGGGTTCTCACAACTCCTCTCGAAGGCTTCTTCATAGACCTGCCAGGTAAAGATACAAAAGAGATTGAAGATTCACTAAAAGACTCAAAGCTGGATTATGAGCAACGCTGGGCAAAACCTCTACTGCATTTATATTGGTTGCATGAGCTTTAAGTTCAGAGTATTTGCTTTGGGTATTCTGCTATCTTGGAATTTGACTTTATTCCAGCCAAGCAGCTGTATAAAATATAAAAGGAACACCTAAGAAATGAAACCTCAAGTGCATGGTTTTAAGGTTAGAAAATGAGTAAAGCATGTGAGACAGGACAAAATAACTTATTAGGGAAGGACAAAGCATGAGAAGACAGCACAAAACTAATGAATCAAGGGCAAAAGGTCATTTTGTTTCAGTAGGAGATGAGCAAGAAGTTCCACGTAGACACCTCAGAAACCAATTCTTTAATCTAGTTTCAAAAGCAGTGACAGCTTCTGCAATGACAAACAATGACTGAAAGAGATGCACTCATGATTGATTCAAAAACAGCAGTTCACACTTATATTAAGACACATCTGTAATGTTTAGCAACCTATAGGTAAACGGCATTTCCTTTCACTTCACACACTTGTAAGTAAGAATAGTCATCACATATGAACATAAAAAGGTGGTGGAGAGTATTTTGAATAGTCCCTTAATAAAGAAACAGTGCCCTATTTAGGAGTGTAGTTACGAGAAACCTTGTCTATTTAAAATTCCCTTTCAATGCAGTATCATTTGAAGTAGTCTGATATCCCCAAGCTTCTCTTACCCATGCCAGGCTTCCTTAGAAGTGCACACACTCTTAGGTTTGGTTTCATCTGCCACTGTTCTAACTAGTGCTCTTGGACTTGTCCCTTCACCCACAGAGAGAGAAGCAGTAGATCTGTGAAAGACAGTGAAAAGTTAACAGCCCAGACTGGTCAGCACTATGAATGTGAAACAAATATGAAACTTGTTTCCCAGAAAAGACTGCTCCAAATCATTTACAACAGGTCTTAAAAGACCTGCCCACAAAGATGACCGAAATCAGGAGAAGTGTTTACCCATTCCTATCTCAAAAGTTTGTATAACAGACTCTTTCACCAAACATGATGCCATTCAGTAACTAGTCTGCAAATCCCAACTCCACATGTCAATGACGAAGCACACACAATGGCTCAGTTTCAGTTTCCCTGGAGAGGGGAGGGGAAAACCACCATCACTGAAGAAACACGTCTCTTTTTCCAGAGACAAATAAGCCATTCTTTCCTAAAAATAAATGTTCTTTGGACATAAAAAGACTTTGTTTAACTGAAGAACACTTAAGTCTCTGTCTAAAAAAACAGCCTAAAACTTCATGCTTCAATCACTTAAGCAACCGATTTTGTGTCAGATCTTCAACTTCTATTCAAGCCAGGGACCTTAGAAGATTTACTAATTTTTCTGGTGCTATAAATTCATCTCAAACTCCCATTTTCCAGAAGCTGTAATAATCCCAAGGACTATTTTTTTCCAAGTTGCAACTCTACATATTGCACTAGAATTCACAAGGAAATTATTTTCAATATCCTATATTAAATTCTTGGGTGACATGGTTTAGTGTGAGGTGTCCCTGCCCCATGGCAGGGGGGCTGGAACTAAGGTCCTTTTCAACCCTAACTATTCTATGATTCTATGAAATTAGTTTGTAAGCAGGGTGAATTCCCTGAAAAGTGAAAATTAGACCCTACTCTCTGATCTACGACAGGGATAACTGATATTTAAGAGTCCAAACTATTAGTCAAACATCAGCTATTTTTCATTTAAAGGACAGTGAACACAGAGCAGAAAACTGAAGGTCAACAGTAAAAACTCCAAAGTATGCCTGACCTGAGGAGTAAGACTAGAGAGACTGAAGAAATGAGAGGCATTTGTGTGGTTATTATTTCTAGTGAGTTTAATTATTTAAATGAAAGATAGCTTTAGAAGCCCATCTACTCACAGTGTAAGCTCTATGGTAATTCCAGCTACTACCTTGATGTTTACATACTACCTCAATATTTACATACTACCACACCTACACTTTCAGTTACTGGCATAACTGTATTACTGACAACAGCTTACTGAAACACAGGACTGTACAGGTAATGTGTAATGGTGCACATCCGTCAGCAGAAAACACATTACATAGCAGCCTTTTGGTTTTTAATTTCAGATAAAAATGGTTATTGTCAAGAGAAGACACATGCTGCTTGGGTTCTGCTACCTGGGACAGGAAGGGTATGCTGGATCTCCCACAAAATGTGACAACATAAAAAGTATTCTTTCCCATTTAGTGAGTTTTGTTATAAATAGGAAATCTGTAAGTGGCAGCAATGAAAATAGTTTGTGTGGGAATCATGCACTGAATGACTTATACTCTCCTTTTCTGACATGGAAAGAACATTCCTCTCCTGGGAAAAGATGGAAGTTTATTCTCATGACAGGCTTTCAGAGCCATTACAATATGCTAAGTTCAGTAATAAGAGTTCTAGTGCTACAGACACAACCTCTGGCAGCCAGACTCATGCCAAAATTCATTTCAAGCATGCTGTCAGTTACTGACAATCATAAGGTTTGTTTCAAGCCTGTTGGGAGCTAACAGGGAACTACAGTTCCTTGAGAAGGGCAGCCTATAGCTAGTGAATTTGTTTCAGCTTAACTAGAATAAAAGTTTTAAGGCCTAAACCTTTGCAATTACCTCATTTCTTCACATTTAACAGCAAAAGTGCTCCCTTTGAGTCCATTTGTAATACTCTCTGTACCTCCCTGTGGTGTTACTTACCCAGCTGTGTCAACTCTCAGCTTTTTGAATGCTGTCTGCAGGCTTTCCTCTTCTCCATCCTTAGCTTCCGTTTTCATTATTGGGATGGCCAGAAGGTGTCAGAGTTACCATGTACTGCTACAAGCATTAAAAAAAAAAAACACATGAAAATAAGAACCAACGCACTGTTAAAAACATTAGTTGCCCAGCAGCACCATAATACATGAAAATAAACTCAAAAATAGCACGCTGAGCACATAAGGCTGAGCTCATTCTAGCGGAACATTTCTGAAAGTTGATTCAGAACAAGCTGATGATACCCAAAAAGAGAAGAGTCTCTTGTACAAGTGCATAGGTGAATTAGCAATTTAAAGTAAAAACTGGTGTCACAAAGATGGTGGCTTGCCCATCCGTTACAGTCCAGACTCTTCTATTCATCTTACAGTGTTACCAAAATAATTCCAGAAGAGGTGAAAGGTAGAAGGAACACCGCTGTTAGAAAGAGTCAGCTTCCTACAACTGCTGTTTCCAGCTTTGGGACACATATAAAAAAATCTCAAACCAACAGATTTTCCTTAAAATGAGATAAAAATTAAACAAAAACTTTTGATCTTATGTCTAGATCCCAGCAAGTTACACAATCCTATCAGAACATGGCACTGTGATTGCAAATAGCCACTAAAATTTTCTGGTATCAGCTCTTGAACAAGTACAAATGCCAATTAGACCACAAACAGCAACGAGTGAGCCTGTTTTAAATAAAAAAAGTAACTGATAAAAACTGGCTGATATATTTTTCTTTTAATCTACCCTGCCCATCAGTTAACATAGCTATAAAGGAATCTCAAATCTTTCTAATTTGATGCTCCTCATTGCCTTACACTTCTGCAATCACATGCACATGCTACACCAGCCAGGCTTCAGCTGAAAAAAGACCTGGTAAAGGTTTGCTTCCCTGACAACAGCAAGTCTCAGTTCTACTCCAAACTAACTCAAGCTCACTACCTGTTGAAGTTTACCTGGCCAATTAACCTGCTTTTGACTTGACTACTTCTGGAAAAACAGGGCCATTTTGGGTCAGTGCCATTACTGCAAGAGCCTCAGGGCCACACTATCTGGGTTGTGACAAGATCATCTCCTCAATCTTTATTATTAAATTGCAAGGTTTTCACACTTGACAACATTCTACAATGAGATCTGTTTGGTAGATAAGGGGAGAGCAGTGGATGTTTTCTACCTGGACTTCAGTAATGCTTTCATTGTCTCCCACAAGACTCTCAGAAGAGGTGATGATAAACCATCACTGGATGATTAGTCAGTGGCATGGACTGTAAGAGAGGCACAGCAACTGGGCCCAAAGCGTGGCAATCACTGACACAAAGTCTAGTTGGAGGTCAGTAACTAGCAGGGTAACCCAAGGTACAGGGCCCAGTGCTGTTCATCATCTTCATTAAAGATGTGGATGATGTGGCAGAGTGTTCCTTCAACAAGTTTGCTGATGACACCATACTGGGATGGGTGGCTAAGGGACAACGACAGGCTGGAAAAAGGGGCCAACAGGAACCTCATGAACTTCAATGAGGGGGAAGTGAAAAGCCCTGTTCCTGCAGGGGAACAAACCCATGTGTTAGTACAGCTTTGCAGAAAAGGCCCTTGGGGTCCTGGCACACATCAGGATGTACACAACCCAGCAATGTGTCTTTGTGGCAAAGGGACTAATGGTATCCTGAGGTCAAGGGAGCTGATCCTTCCCTCTGTTCAGCTGGAGTGCTGCACCCAGCGCTGGGCCCCCTGCTACAGGAGACAATGACATGCCAGAAAGAATCCAGTGAACAGCCACTAAGGTGATGAAGGAATTGGAACATGTCTCCTGTGAGGAAAGGCTGAGAGAGATGGGACTGTTAAGCCAAAAAAGGGCTCAGGAGGGATCTCATCAACATATATATACCAGAAGAGTAGGTACAAAGAGGACAAGAGCCCAGCTCTTCTCAGTGGTGCCCAGCAGCAGGACCAGGGCGCCTGGGCACACACTAGAATGCAGGAGGTGCTGCTGTCTGAGCATAAGGAAAGACTTTGCTGTGAAGGTGACTGAGCATGGTTACAGGCAGCCTGGGGAGGCTACAGAGTCTCCCTCCTTGGAGATACACAAAAGCTACCTGGACACAGTCCAGAGCAACTGGCTTGGGGTGGCCCCCCTTGAGCAAGGGGGTTGAGTCTCCAGGGTTCTCTTCTGTGATTCTGTATCTTCTTGATGCTCTAAGAACCCTTTACAAAGGTAACTATCCAAACCCAGGAAACTATAACAGCTCTTGTAACATCATACTTGCATAGAGCACTAGCACTACTTACCAATACAGCAACAACGCCTACATTACTACTACTTTTAGCAACAAAGTACCAGCTTTTCTGTAGCATGAGAAGGTGTCTGTGAAGAGAGAGAAACTTGAACCTCTGCAGCTCAGTTACTTATGCAGCTATCGAGTGATCATCTCTGCTCCCTCACAGCCTCATTCCAGCTGGAGGTGGCAGCTCTCTCCTCTGTTGTTCCAGCTGTGATTTCATCTGGACACCTCATATTGCAGACAGCTACTATGAGACACGCCGAAGGCTAATGTATCATAACAACATCAAGGAACACGGTGTCCAGTGAGTCAGACAGCAAGCAAACATGAGAGGAGGAAACCAACACACAGATTGACAACACGATGCTCATCTGAGCAAGTTATTACTTCATGTACTCTTAATTAGATACTACTGCTTGGGTGAAACACATGAAGTCTTACTTCAATAAGATTCCCCCTTCACCCCAAAAGAAAATTATTTAAAATAAATCAGCCTACAGCTTTTTTAACACCAAAACCCTGTATTAGATAACCTCAGCAAGAGAAAAAAAAGCTTTCAAATCATAGCATCATAGAATAGTTAGGGTTGGAAGGGACCTTAAGACCATCTAGTTCCAATCCCCCTGCCATGGGCAGGGACAACTCCCACTAAACCATGCCAACCAAGGCTCTGCCCAACCTGGCCTTGAACACCACCAGGGATGGAGCATTCACAACTTCCTCAACCCATTCCAGGGCCTCACCACCCTGACAGTAAAGAACTTCTTCCTTAGATCCAATCTAAACTTCCCCTGTTTCAGTTTGAACCCGTTACCCCTTGTCCTATCACTACAGTCCCTAGTGAACAGTCCCTCCCCAGCATCCCTACAGCCCCCCTTCAGATACTGGAAGGCTGCTCAGCCTGGAGTATCTGAACAGCCCCAACTTTCTCAGCCTGTCTTCGTACGGGAGGTGCTCCAGCCCCCGATCATCCTCGTGGCCCTCCTCTGGACTTGTTCCAGCAGTTCCATATCCTTTTTCTGTTGAGGACACCAGAACTGCACACAATGCTCCAAGTGAGGTCCCACAAGAGCAGAGCAGAAGGGCAGGATCACCTTCTCCAACCTGCAAACCACTGTACATTATTCAAAACATACTACAGTTTTAGACTATATATTTTATGCTGCCCTTCATCATTGACACAGTAACCAAAGTTTAATGTTGTGTCAAAAAACCACATCGAGCCGTCTGCTCTTCATATCCCAGGAAAACACACATCTTCCCCTTCCCACCCTATGTCCAGCTCTTCCCCACAATACACAACCACTAGCCCGGCGCGCTACAAGACACCCAGCACCACTCATGAAGTTACAAAGCACAGGCGCAGCCGTTGGGTTAAAGGCAGGCAAGGCCAGGGAGCGGCAGCTCCGGGGCAGCCCCGAACCGGGCCGCCAGCCCCAGAGCAGCACCCGGGCAACGGGAAGGGAGCGGCAACGGCTCCCCTCCCGCCCGACGCCTCACGGGCTCCTCACGGGCTCTCACACCCCGGTGCCTGCCGCCCGCACCTGGGGACCCCCGGCCCAGCTCCTGCCCCGCAACCCCCAGGCGGAGCCCAAGAGACACCGCGGCCTCGGCGCGGAGCGAGGCCCCATCGTAGGCGGGGGTGACTCAGCACAACCCCCGCACCCCGCCGGGGAAGCCCCGGAGCTCTCCTCCTCACCCACAGCGAGGGCACCGCCGGCAGCTCCGGACACCCGCGGGGCACGGTCCCGCCGCGGGGACACAACAGCCCCACCGGCCCCGTCCGCGGGAGAGGGGGGGGCAGCGCGCAGGGACCGCTGCAGGCCCCGCCGCGGAGCCCGAACTCACCGCGTCTGCCCCAGAGCCCGGCCCAGCCGCGCACCGCCGGCCCCGGAAGGAACCGAGGTAACCGAACTGCGGCGGGAGGTGGAGGGAAGCGCGCATGCGTATATCCGCGGGGCGGTGACCTCACTTCCTGTTGTGCTCCCCGCCCCACCTCCCACCGCGAGCGTGAGGCGGCGGTGAGCGGCGCCGCCGGGTCCTGGTGCCCCCGGTCTGAGAGCGGCCGCATGGCGGGGTGAGAGGCGGCGGGGCCCTGGGGAGCTGGCGGAGCCTTGGCGGGGCGCGGGAGGCTGCGGGGCCAGCGGGGGCTTCGGGACCGTCCGGTAGGCAGGGGCCTGCGCTGGTGCGGCGGCAGCGTGGGCCTGTGTCGGGTGTGGCGCCGGCCCCTTGTTCGATGCAGCTGTGGCGGGGACGTGCCGGGCTCTGAGGAGCGCGGGGCTGGAGCTCGCGGTCGGACGCACCGGGCTGGTCGGGAGGGTGCCTCCAGCCGCGTCACTTCGGTGCTGTACAGACTGTGTGTGTCCGGACCTCGCCATCCATCCCCGGTTCCTGTGTTTCAGTGTGTTCTGTATGGCACGGCTGGCTGCACGCTGAGCGTTCATCCATGGACTTGGAAGCTAAAGATGAAGAGGAAGAGAGTCTGCAAACGGCTTTCAAAAAGCTGAGAGTAGATGCAGCAGGGTGAGTGACAGCACCGTGTCGCGTGTCAGTGTCTTTTGTATTTGGCTTCTGTTATTTTGCATCTCAAAACAAATATTTAACAGAAGGTGCCCTACTCTGCAAGAGGAGACAACTGCGTCGCTTCTGATGAAACGCAGTCATTGCAACTAATAGGCAAAGCAGTACTTTATTACTGGCTAATTTTAGCATGTTAGCCAACTGAAATTACACAGTGACTGCATAAAATGACTTGTCCAAAGCAGCAAACCCACTCTTAACTGTTGTGGTAGCCATAGTGATATAGAAGTTGTTTGGCTGCTGGTATCTTCAGCTGCTATAGTGGGTGAAGATCTGTTTGGAAAGTGTCCATAGGACACACCAGCACTTCACAGTGTGCTGGGCAGCTCAGTCCCACTGTAAATCATCAGGCTAAATATGAGCACTGATAGTTTCTGATTTCAGGGGATTTTGTAGAGTGAAACATCTGCAGACTTTATTCTATTAAAAACTTATTCTATGACACACGAGGTATACTGATAGTATGGAGTAAAAATGTTCTTTAAAAGCAGGAGTTAATAGGATTATGCAGTCTGACATTTTCTGAGATAGTTCACTAGAAGTCTTTTGGGAATTCCCAAAGAGAAAGCTTTGTATCAGTAATTAATGTTGCCTTGTGATTTCATCTCCATGGCCATCAATACTGCAAACTCATTACTTCCTCTGCATGTTAAAATACATTTTGCTTTGCTACTCATTTCTTCTACTTCAGGAGGTCTTCTGTTAAATGTCGCAAAAAAATAGCTGTGCTCTAACAAGGAACTACTTATTAAGCATACCACTTTTGATGTACTACCAGTAACAGACTGTGTGGAATTCTGGCTGATTCCTGATGACATCTTCTTAAGCATAAAAAGATCTTGTTTTGCAGGCATGTGTTTTGACCAGCTCAAGTGTTGCGGCTAATCCCTTAAGATCAACTTTGGGCAGAGTACTTGGGCTCTTCTGCTAGAATTTCAGCCTCATTTCTTATGATTTCCCATCTCATGTTCCAAATCACACATACAGCATCATAATGCAGATTCACATGCTGAGGCATTTATGTTGTCTGGTCCTCCTGTGCATGTTTATCTGGGAAATTTAATGAGAAATAAACTGGTAATCTGTTCTGTCTGTTGTACCTCATCCATTTCTCCACTGACGACTCCTGAGGCTGCTGCTATGGGTTCCCAGCTTTGCATTTTAGATGAGTAGGAATCTAACAACTATTGTCTGACAAGAACATTTGGAACCTGAGTTTACATTCCTTTAATGTATCGTTTTGGTACAAATAGGGCATGACATCAGCCTTTGGGTGTTTTGGCCTGCTGTCATTTTATCTCACCTATCTTTAGACCACTGAGGTCAGTATAGTAAGAGTTAGGTTAGATAAATCTGTAATATCCTGTTTCTAACCACTCACTATAGGGGAAGCTCAGGCTCCAAACTTCTTAGTGAAGCGTCTAAAGCGAATAGGCTGAATTTAGACCTCCAAAGCATCATGTTCAGGCATTACTATAAAGTGGCATTCCCCTTTCTACTCAGATGTATTGCGGCTCTGTCTGTTGGTGACGGGACGATGCTGAGAACAGCAAGAGCAGCTGTGGATGGAGCCAAGCAACAGACTGTCTGCTCAAAGGAAGTGTGGCACGGGTAAAATACCATTCACTGTGCCGTGCTCGTGGTTCTGGTTTGAGACATTTAACACTCGAATACTGTTCCCAGTGCATGTTGTTAATTAGTTGCTTCAACATATCTCTTCTCTCCCTTATTACAAAACGTTACCGTATCTGTTTTGATATGGTGTTTTTAAAGATGCTTTCAACAAAGACTTTAAAGCCAATATTACCTCTTAGGGTACTGAAAACTTTCTTGTCCACTGATTTCCTCAGAAGTCCTTTTGTTCAAGCCTTACACCTTTGCAACCCGCTCTCGCCTTTTTCTTGGTTTATTTTATTTCTGTATTGAAGTACCTGGATATTCAGGATTCTGCCAGCAGCTCCACCAGATATCCAGGTTCTGCACTACAGTTCAGTTGGGATGACAAGAGTATCATTTGGTTAGCAGAGAAGATTTGGGGGGAAGTACCTTTAAATAAGGGCTCTTTGTATGTGTCTTTGGAGGAGCCCAGATTTCTTCAGCCTTCTCCACTGTTCCTGTCAGAGATTGAGTGACCAGTCACCTGAGTTTTCTAAGCAGAAAAGAAAAGGAAAAAAGAACCCAACATATTCTAAAATAGTTTTAGCCACAGTTTAGAGCTTACTGAGCTATGGTGTAGAGTCTGGAGTTACCAACTTGCTCACCTGTTATCACCCTGCAGGTGTGTGAGAAAGCCTTCCAGAGGATCAGCCAGAGTCCCACGTCGCAGGCGCTCCAAGTCTCCCGTCCTACATCCTCCCAAGTTCACTTATTGCAATATGAAAGCCAACAACCAGCTGAAACACAAAACCCAGGCAGATATGTCAAAGGGTGGCATCAGCTCAGACGTTTTTGTCCCAGCAGAACACGGTACGAAGGACGGGCACGATTCTCACTTTGACGCTAGTGATGACAAAACTGAACCTTTGGAAGCTTTCACCGCTGAAGAGCCTTTGGAGAAGTCAAGAGAGAATTGTCCTACTCTCTCTTCATCCTTTGAGACTAGCTTGCATTCTAGCCAGACCTCAGATTTCCAGTCCTTATCCATGCTTAGCAATGGCAGGCAGTGCCCTTGTACGGACAAGAAATGTCAGTGCCAACAGTGGCGAACCATGGAAGTGTACTCCTTCTCTGGCTTACGGAGTGTCCTGTCAGAGTGCGAGAAGGCAGTCCTCGGAGTCCACACCCAAGCTCTTCAGAATAGGTCCCCCTGTGGGACAGCCTCATCAAGTTCTCCTAGGTCTTGTTCTGAGCAAGCTCGAGCCTTTGTGGATGACGTGACTATTGAAGATCTCTCAGGATACATGGAATACTACTTGTATATTCCCAAGAAGATGTCTCATATGGCAGAAATGATGTATACTTGACTGAAAGCAATAGAGAATCCTGAGTCAGTCTGTGATAACGGTTGGGTTAAATGCCTTGTCAGTGCCATGTTTTCACTGTCGTGTGTTTGATCAGATATTTCTTTGCCTCATACAGTTTAGTTTTCTAATAAAATGAAAAATGGAATATAGTTTCTGAGCTTAGTTCTAAAAAGAATGCACTAAAGTCTGAATACATTAACAAAAGCACTGTAGATCTAATGACTCCCCTTGGTTTTGGGTTTGTGCTGTGGATATTCAAGCTCTGTAGTGCTGTTTTCACTATCATTTGGGGGGGGGGGGGAAGGCCTTCTTTTTTTTTTCCTGAAATTTTGCAGTGTTTAGAAGGTTCATTTTAATGTGTCCCAGTACTAAAGAGTAATGATTCATAGCTACAGCCCTATCCTCATCCTCCTCTAGGGAGAAGAGTGAGCAGTCATTCAGTATTTTGAATAGGATGAATCTCCTTTCCTCAGACACTACCTGGCTTGTTTTTAGTTGGATCCTGTTGTGAATTCCTCCCAGACGTGTTGGGAGGTCCATAATGTACAAGTGTGCTCTTGGACCCCTCCATAAGTTAGCTAGCTCTCTCTTAAGCAGTTCTATTTTTCTGCAGATAAGCAAAGCTCTTAGAAGCAAGAGTATATTTTGTTATTTGTGCTTTACAGATGGAATAATTTAGGGGGGAGTGAAGCAGGCTAACAGGTTTTTTGGGCCATGTCTCAGAAGTAGAGATGGTGGAACCATCTACAGAGGTTGCTTCTGAGGATGTTTGGTCCACACAAAGCAGTGTGGAGAGGTAATAAAGAAGCATGTATCATACCGGCTTTGTGGTGTAGAGCTATAACATTCTGGTTGAAAATACTGAAATAAAACATTTTGTTGCTGAGACTTGCATTAATAAACGTTTATCAAACCCCAGCAAATTAAAGACTGAATAATTTGACTTACACTCATCTCCCCTCAAGACCTTTTCTTTAAAGAAAAACCCACCCTAAAGTGTACTTTCGGTGCCAGCTGTACACACGTGATAAACAACTGTGTTTGAATACTGCAGTTTTTACTTACATGCTTAAAACAGTAGTCAGCAAGCCAAGGAGTCACAAGCAGCTGTACGAAAATAGATTTGAGCAGATGTAGACAGCTGACCTCACGTCCTGTGCTAGGCAAGTCTCGGCCATTCTAGTTGGTAATTGCTGTCTGTAGATTTTGCCCGTCATCCCTCAATTTACACTATGAATCCAGGAAGCTCAGATTTTAAAAGCTCAAATAGATCCAAGTAAGTTAACATAAGAATACACCTAAAGCTGTTGCTTTGTTCCCAAGTGTCATGCAGTTATTGCAATATTTGCTCAGTCTCAAACTGATTTCTAAATGTTCTTGCATGAGTATTTCACTGTCTCCTTCACCTGCCTCTTCCAGCACTGTTCTGCGCACCCACACAAGCACAGTTCTGGTTTTCTTTGCTTTCCCTTCTTTCTTCCTACAGAAATTCTGGTATAATACATACTTTCCTTCTCAATGTAAATATTTAGTACTTGTTATCTTTGCCGCTGCCGTTTTTCAGAGGCTGTTTCTGCTTCAGCAGTGCCCTTCTGCTTGTGTTTCTGTCTTGTTTTTTGTGCCCATTTAAAATTGTTTGAAGGTATTGTTGCTAGATGCAGTCTTTCTCCCTTTTAGACTAAGGATTACCCCGGCCAGCCCTTATGTGGAATCTGTGCCTTTGAAGCTGATCTTTAACATGCACAAATGCAGGTAGTGATACCCAGTGCTGGATGTCCCCACTC